TTGGAGATGCCCACCGAACCACACACACACGCCCCCTGCCTGCACACATACTCCTCCGACCCCCCCTCCCTCCCAACCCTAGCCACTTTGCCTAACCCATATTCCGATTTTGTCAAAGGGAGATAGGATAAGATAAAGTATATGAAACTGAGTAGTTTGAAAAAACAACAACAACAACAACAACAAAAAAAAACAAAAGGAATAACGATGATAAAATTCGAGTAACGACAAAAAAAAGAAAAATGAAGAAGAAAACGAGAATAAGGAAGAGAAGCAAAAAAAAGAGGTCCCACATAGGAATTCTGGTATTTCTCCTTTTTTTTTCCTTTTACTCTTTCTCACCCAACTAAGTAGCTCTCATAAGCTAAAGACTTTCTTCTTTTCTTCTTCTGCTTCAAGCGCCGTTTTTCCTTCCTCGAGACCAAAAAAAGCCATATCTGATATCGAACCACAAAAAAACCTATATATAGAAATATATATATATATATATTGTTATATATTGCAATTTTGTTCTTCTTCTCGTTCTTCTGTCAAGCAGCAACGGTAGGGGTAGGTGTAAGAACCCCGCCGCCCATGGTATCATCGTCATCATCGAATTCGTCGACAAAAGTGCTTTCGGTACCTGCGTCTAGGTCGTCCGTGTCAATGTCTGCTTCTTCACCAGCGTCGTTGAGTTCCTCGACTTCTTCTAGCCCCTCTGCTGCGTGCACATGCTGGGGTTCGAGTTCCACGGGCATGTGCATGACGTGGGTGTTCATGCCATTTGCATATGTGTTCGGGGGCAGATGCATCTGTGATAGCTCGTGTTGGAGAGCTTCAATGTTCTCGTGCAGATGCTCTGTCATCTCGACGTTGTTTTCCTCGTCGTCGGAATGGTCGTATGCGGTGTAAAAGGGCGAGGGGCCAGATGCGGTGATGCTCGTAAAATGTGCTGGTTCTTCCGTTACACCAAACACTGTCGTTACAGTTATAGAGTCAGGGCTTGGGATGGGATCAGCGTGATACACGCCCGAGAAAAACTCGTACATGGCTCCGGCCAATTCATCGGCATGTCCGCGCTCCTCCTTGTCCTTTTTCTGTTTCGCCATCGCCCGTTGTTCTGCTTCTTTCTTGGCTAGGATCTCGGCTTCCAGCCGGCACTTTGCGCGGACACTGGCTTTACGTGCGCATGTCGGGCAATGGTAATTGACGGTGCAGAATGTGCATGTGCACGACTGTGTTGATGCAGAGCATTGCTAAATCTAGTGTCAGTTTTATATGATAACCTATAGAAAAGGGGGGGGGCGGACATCACAAACAAGGACTGCGCACTCGGAGCACTCTTTGAGCATGGCAGGACATTGCGGTCTGCTGTCTCCCACCGGTCTTGGGTACTGGCAAAAGTAGGCTCCGCAACCTTCCCATTGAACAGGATGACGTGGATTGCATGGCAATGGAAGTGGGTTTGTGACTGGATGGTTGACAGGTACGCGTTGTGGGTTTTGCAACCAAGGGCTCGTAGATCGACCCCTGACACCAGAAACACTGAGGGATCGTGGGCGTGCGGAGCTGACAGGAACAAAAGACAACGAAGAAGCAAGGGGAAATGGGTCAGGATTTGGCATCGAGTTGAGCGAGGTCGTAGTCGACATGTCGATTGAGGAATGCTGCGGAGGAGCAACAAGGATCTGTGACTGTGACATTGGCGTCTCGGAGGATTCAGATTCGTTGTCTCCGTTGGAGTACAAGTCGATATTCGATGAAGACGCAGTAGGCGTGCGCTCGGGGTCGGGTGTACTGGCTCGGTTTGGGTTAAACTCGGGGATGACGAGGCGTTGCGGTGGCTCGTTGTGTGCTCGAACATGCTCCCGCTCCGTGTGCAGTTCCCGGTAGCCACATTTGCGGACTTTCAATGCCCGGAAGTCGTGTTCTTTGCAAATGGGGCTCTTACAGGCCCGGCACGAGACCTTCCATCTAAAACTCCTATAACAGTCATTGCACAAGCCTCTGGGACATGTTTGCTGTTGCAGATCTAGCGAATCCTGCTTCAGGTATGACAGTATGTCAACATCCTCGCCAAGCACATACTCATAGAGGCCATTGTTCTTCAACTCTCGAATGTAGTCGACAGGTCGGAGCGAGTTGCTGAAATCAGGATCTTCGAACTCTTTCTTGCGTGGCAAGGGCGCTGCACGTATCTTGTCTGCTCCTCTGCCTCCTAACCCAGTACCCAGAACGGCAATTCCACCACCACCGGAAAATATAGGCTCCAGACAGCACCAATGCATATTGAGCTTGGGAGGTTCGCGGTTAGCAGGGGGGACAGGCATTCCATTGTTCATGTTTCCGCCGTCTTCAGAGTCGGAAGAGTCGTCGTCGTGGGCGCTCTCGTTCATGAGGTTCGGTGATCGCGTCGCTCCGGGAGCCCACCAAAAGCGATTCCGGTCAGCCCTCTCTTCTTGACTGCGGTCCTCTGCAGATGGCATCGACCCAGATGCTTGCCCAAGCGAACCCAGCGTGCCCAGAGTGCCGGTATTTCCGAAAGCCAGATTTGCAAAATGCCGTGTCTTTGCGCGTTTTCTCGGTATTGGTCTGTTGAAGGCGCAGCTTGCACATAGTGTCTTCCGACAGCCCATGCAGTGCATACGAACACTGCACGACTCGCACCGCTCAAGAATGATGTCATCGCATTGTGAACATTTGACGTCCTTGACAAAGGCTGTGTGACTCCTTCGTTCGTGCACTGGGACATGTTTGCCTTCTCCTGCAAAGTCGCTATTGTCAGGCCCAAGTGGCTCGCCATCTTGGCCAGTCTCAGCAATTTCCCATAACCTGCCATCGTGGTCGCCCAGCTTCTTGGTGCCATCCACTGGCCCTACGCGGTTACTTGATCGCCAGAGCCTGTCAAAGGGCACCCAGACCTCCATGTTCAACGGACCTGCTCTTCCTGCATGGTAGTCTTTTCGCCGAAAGCACCTGCCACCCGGGGTTGGACACCATGCAGTGTCAGTCCATATCCCCAACTGATGGCATATCTCGATAAGTTGGTGAGTGGGGTCGGAGTCGGAGTCTCTTCGGATGAGAGAGGAGGGAAGGTAAGGGCGTCGACGGTGGTGGCGGCAGCGGTAGGTGTATAGGCTTTTAAGGGCGAGGTCCTTTTGGATCCATGGGGCATCCTTGAGGGTGTAGGGTTCCAGAAATGGGACAATGTGGTATTTGATAGAGACGTTCTTGCAGCCGCGGACAGACAGGTGCTGGAGCGTGTGAATGCGCGGGCCGAGGACGCTTCCTACCAGGGCTATGCCTGTGACTGCCGTATTGCAGAGGTCTAGGCTGGTCAGCCGTGTACCGTTGGGGGATATGATGTGTTTGAGGAGGGCGTCAAAGGAGTAGGCCTTGGACTGGCGCTCCCGGTTGTCGGGCGTCTCATTGCCCGGGGAGCCGACGGTGACGGCGGGCTGGGGCAGGCGAAAGGACAGCGTCTTCCATGCGAGCGGGTACTGGCGGAGGAAGTCGCGCAGATGACGCGAGGTGTGGTAGAGTTGGAGGAGGGCGGCGGTGGAGATTTGGGCAAGGAGCGATTCGAGGATGGGGGGGTAGGCGGTGATGATGGATTCGAAGAGGCTGAGCGAGGCGTCGTGTGCAGCGGCGTGGGCCATTGCCGCGGACGTAGGTGTGGGAGTGGGCGTGGTGGTGAGCGAGTCGCAGGTCCATACGGCCGCGTGGACGTGCTGCTGTTGCGTGGCCATGAGGGTGCCAGCCGCGACGGGGGAGTGAGAGAGAGTGTGCAGACAGAGACTCCCAAGGGATGCGGACATGCACAAGCGCAACGCGTGGGTCGTGTCGCGCAGGCGAGGATGGTCGTGTGAGTGAGGCGTGGGCGGGCCGTGGGTCAGTCAGTAGTCAGTAGTCAGTAGTCGGTAATAGTCAGTCGTAGTCGGTCGTCGGGAGAGCACACACACACACACACACACACACACACACACACACACACACACACACACACACGCACACACACAGGCTGCTTGACGGGCCAAGCATCGAAGGCGATCCGATTGTCCGGCCGGGCGATCCTGAGCCTCTGTCTCTGCCTCAGCAGCCAGCGGGTTCAGCTACGGTCAATTCGCCATGGACAGGTTGGAACACCGTCCCATGCCATGACCGCCGCCGCCTCTCTTGAATATGCACATCAGCAACTGTTGGGCGCGCCAAGCACACGTCTTCTGCTGCATAATGGCATACATGGGCAGTCGGCCCTGCTGGCGCTGGTGGCGCGGCACACATACTACGGTGGGTTGGCGTAGCCTATCGGCCACCAGCCCACCAGCCCTGCCACTGACTTGCATCTGCATCCATTCCATTGTCTGTCAGCTCAACACCGAGTGTCTGTCTGTCTGGCTGGCTGGCTGTCTGCTTCAATCAGGCCTAGTGCCCTTGCTGCGTGACTACCAACTGACCATGTGGCGGCGTAACGTTATGTATCTATCTGTGTCGAGTACGGTGCATCATCACATACTTACATACATGATCATCACCCCTCTTGTCGCGCACACACCGCCTTTGGATGCTACTGTATGTATGTAATAACTAGGCATGTATGTAATAGTAGTAGTAGTAGTCTTTATTAACCACAGCCATGTCATATCTACCATCGTCCAAGCAAAGGCGCCAGCTCAAACCCAAAAAAACCAAAACCACAATCATTCCAAACGCACTCGCTTGCACAATCGGAAACGCCAAGCCAAACCCACAATCCAGGTCACCACCCCTTGCGCCTAGCAACCCACGTGAGCCACGCCGTGGCCAGTAATCCTACAAAAAAACAAAAGCCTTCGTGACTTACTGCGTTACCCAGACCGGGCGCACGATGAAGTGGCACCCACTCGACACAATCGTCAGATAACCACCGCCTGCCTTCCGACAACCAATGCTCCGACCCCACTTTGCCACTGCCAGCACCACCACACCACACCCACTGCCGCCCCGACCGCCAGTAATTCCATCTATCCTCCCTACTGTACCTAGAACACCCAGTTGCCCTCCGTGTCTTGATCCTCCAATCCATCAAACAGCACAATGTCCCAGTCCACCTTCGATCCTGTCCCGCATCCCGATGTTGGCCACAGCGAATTGTGAGTAAACGAGAAGATGGGCAGACGATCGCCAGATGCCGTCGCATTCATCAGCTTCCCGGCGTCCGAGTCAATGTCGAACCCCGTCCGTACCGGCGGCTTTTTAAACTCGAGCTCCACTGTCCCGAAAAATGGCAGCGTGTGTCGTGTGCTCCCCGTTCCCTGTCGGTTCGGATCCAACGACGATAGCAGCTTCTTCAGTGCAATGGCACTGCGACCTGCTATCCTTTCCCGGGCTCCTCCTGCCTTGGCCAGCTTCTCCATCTCGCCAATCAATCGGCATAGCATGGCAAAATCCGTTCCCTTTGTCTGTTGCACCTCCATCTTGTCCTTTGAGCTCAGTTCAATCACAATGTCCAACGTCAGCGTCACGGCCGCAATGAACACGGCCGTCTCCGCCAGTCGACAGCACGCCTGTGTCATGTTGGCGTTTCGGAGCGCAAACCATCGCATCAAGACGTTGCGACTTGCGTGCAGTGCCGTCACCTTTGAGTAGTCGTATCGCTTGTCCTGTTGAGCTCGCAGTAAGTATGGCAGGTGAATAAACATCCGTGTCTCGAAGTGAAATATCTGCACTATCAGTCGCTCCAGTGCTGCTGACGATTCAGGCGATCGTGCTGTAGGCGGAATATTTGGCACCTCCCAAAACTCTTTTGGCATTTGTCGCATGTACATCTCGAGCTTCTCATCCAGCTTAAGTGCTGTAGAGTATCCTTGCGGTGATACTTCGCGGTCCAGCTCCGCCACCTGCTGGGTGATTTCGTTGAGCTTCGCACGGTGTTGAAGATGCGAGTCCGCTTCCGCTGGCACTGGATAATTCTCCGCCCCAAAAGGAAGCCGAAGATGCAGACACAAATACCGGTCCACATCAACAAAGCTACGCCATATGCCCTTTGCATTCGACACCGTCGGAATCGGTGGCTTGTGGTCTGGTTGTGTTATGATGCGCTGGAATCCCATGAGATGGGCCAGATTGAGGCCGCGTCGAACGACGAGCCACGACTGCCTCATTGATGCGTTAGTTAGGTGGTAGAATGCGAGTAGAAGCAGTGTCTCAAGCCCATGCAGTGTCATCATCTGTTCGTCTGACGAGGCAACAATAGATGTGACCGTTGCAACATAGCTCTGCACGGTCGCATCCAAGTCGTGTATGCTTGACAGTCGCGATATATCAAAGTCGGCCGGGAGTGAGTTGAGACAGATGGCCAAGTGCAGAAGCGTCCGAGCCACAATGATTGATCTTTCCTGAGCAACTGCTTGCATGTCGAGGGCGTATGACTGCATGTCTTTGCGTACATAGATATCTTCCGACGCTCGATACATGTTCTCGAGTATCATCCAGCCGTTCGATGACTCGAACACAATATCCGCGTCGCGTTGTGATGGCAGCAGTGCCACCAACGATCGATGGGCATGGTCATATACCTCAAACGATTCTTTGCGCCCTTGCTTATCCACAAGCGTCTGTATCGAAGGTGCCGAAGTCCATGTTTGTGCACCAAGCTGCTGCTGTCAGTGGGTCGTGTGCCAGCAAAACATAGGAAACTCACAATGCCGTCTCCTATCGACGACTCACTCCGCACATCGTTTGACAAGCCTAACCTACACCATCTGTTGATCTTCTCGCTCGATCCTGACGCAGTCAAGGGCGGACTTTGCAGCCCACTCGGTGTGCCATTCGTCGAACTCTTGCGACACACAAATCTTTCAAAGAGCTGCTCAAGCTTGCTCAGTCTTTCCGCCATATGCACTGAGCATGTACTCTCCTCATCTGCAGACCCTGGAAGACTTTGGTCCAAGCTAACCAATGATGGCATACTGGTTTGGCCTACATGTACGTGAACCTTGCGTTTCTTGCCTATGGAAATGTCAGTACACAGCCCCGAACACACTAGTATATCATCTCCTATCCTACATTGCCAACAAGCCCGACGGGGGCTTTTGGATCTTCTTTTCTTAGAATGGTTACTCGTATTGCTGGGTGTATCCATATTAGCTTCACAGAACATGCAATACTTTGATTCTCTGATCTATCTGTCGGCACATCGTTTTGGAAAAGGGTGCGACCTTACTTTCATAGCGGGGCGAAGGTAATGCGATGGCGATGGCGGATGTGGAGCTGACAATTGGGGTGCCGGCCGCAATTCGTCCGCACTTAAGGGTCAGGCCGAGAATTATCCATGCTAACAGGGCGCCCATACCCGGCCCTTTTTTTGGTACCCGCATACCATCATCGTAGCCACTTTTACTTTGGCACGCGTGGCTGTTACGATGTCCTCATGGATGTAATTCGTTCTTGCACCTCTTGGCCCAGCTCATTGTCGTTTCCAGGTTCCAGAGCGAATCCGTCTATCCGGATCAAAAAAAAACAAGTGCGCTGTATTATTGATACCACGCCACGGATCATGCATTAATGGAGCGAGTACATAACCAGAGCGTGACCGCTGCTCAAACGCCCTATCTCCGCGATGCGCAAAGCGCACACGGGAAGCGCATGCGTAACATGGACAGGGTGCACCAAAACTAACTGGCGCTTATATTACCGTGTCCTAGGCCATCGAACTTTATCGGATCTACTGTTCCCGCCGCGTCGCATTACTCTACTGTTTGGTCCATCTCATCGGTAATCATCATCCCTTTCCGACGTCCGTTGCCCGAGTAAAAACTGCTCGGTAATGACAAGTTTTATTGCTACAAGGACCCACGCAGTACGGTTGCGAGACACGTCTTACCTTTGAGATCGTCTCCAACAGGTGGGTGCATCTGACAAACGGGTACTTTGTCATTGGATCCTGCGATTGCCGACATCGACTACGTGGACGACGCGCAATAACTGAAGACGGACTATTACGGCGAGTGTAACCTAAGAATTCTCTCTAGAAACGCTAGCGCCAAAATTGATGTGTTCTCCCCGCCACCCCGGTATCTGCATGTATGGGTGACCAGGACAGAATGGGACTAAAATCGTTCGTTTCCGACCAAAGGCGGAGGGTATGCGGAGGATCAAATTATGCGATTCGATTTTCGGCGTTGAAGAAGGCATCCGACCCGATTTTCGATGCCCGTTACCAAAAAGAAGCACGTGGCCCACTTTGCGTGGGGCGAAGCGATGCCCGAACGCCTGGTTTCGAGATTCCGAACGTAAACAGGTTTTCATTTATAGCCCGACCGAAATGTTGGCATGTACGTATGTATACAGGTAGCCTCGCCGGGTAATTTTTCATGTGGTGCTCGCCGATTCCTCGGATACAGCGCTGAGTCTTATCGAACCCACGCTGGCACAGTGATTATAGTCATGGATGAAAGTGAGGAACTCGTTATAGCCAAGTAGCTCTTTGGGAAGAGCTAAGGAGACGGTGTGGGAAACGAATGAAAGCCACGTACAATCGAGCTAGGTAGTAAGCATGGATAACAAATAAAGTCTCACATCATCATTCGCGGATAGACAACTGAGAAAGGGTTGCGCATGACAGCTATACTCTCCTAACCGTTGGGAGATAGCGAGTGTATCTTCTGCAGGCGCAGACGCTGACGGAGTCCGTAGGTGTATCCGTTGTTGTTTTTGTCAGCACTCGTATTAACTATCTGCGGCGAATGCCTAACTCCGATGCAATGCAATCGGTGGGGTACCCATCTCAGGCATACATGTCGTCATAATCCTCCTCGTCGTCAACAGGCGGTGGAGGGGGCTGCTTTTTCTTCAACAATTCTTTGCGATCAAGAGGGCATGTAGAGTTTAGCTTGAGCCACGGGCCTATGCAGTCGAGATCAAAGCGGTGATCGTCGTGACATGGAAGCTGAACCACAAGCGGGTATTTGTCTATGCACGCTTTGGTCAGCTATGCTCCTTCCTGGTGCGGTATGCAGCCTACCTTCGAGGAAAGGGTTGACACATATTGGACATGTGTCGGAAGGTTTTAGTTTCTCTTTGGGCACCCTTTCCAATTCGTCCAGGAAGCTGTCGGGTACGCCCTTGAGTTCAGTGGGCGGATCGTCGGCATTCTCGCGCAATATCTCAATCATGCTAGCCAACAAGTCTCCCTCTGCGTTGGCCTCGTCCGCCGGTCGTCCGCGCATTGTCTCAAAAGCATTCGCGAGTAAGCGGAATGCCGCTGCCATATTCTCGGGCTGGGGAAGAGCATTGGGGTTTGTGTGTGACCGTGGATCGGATGTGTCTACAAGCTCGAGCTGCGAGAAGAAGGTGGAAAGGTCTGGCCGGCGCGGAGGCTGCTGCGGCTTGTCATCCTTAGTGGATATATTGTGCTCGACTGCCTCTGGTTATTCTACCGACTACGTTTCCGGACGAGCAGACTTACCCTCGTAGCCAGACATGGTGGCGATGATTCCAACTGCGGTGAGTATACGAAGGTTCCGGCTGATGCGCTCGCGAGCTCGGCTTTTGGAGCTGTGCAAAACTACGCGTCACGGCGGCTGCCTTTGACGCGGGCATGGGGAAGAGGCGACCCCGCTGTGGCACATGTGTGGCGCAGTAAGTGTGGCGTATACAATAGGCGATTCTTGGCTCGGCGTCGCCTCTTTCCAATGGTAAGTGCTTCCTGACACTGGACGAAACAACTGCAACTGTTCAACGGCCGCTTTTCCATTCCGAGTGGCGCCATGTCTCCATGTCCCCGGAGTAACAAGGAGATTAGGTGGCGAGTGACAGTGAGCCCCTGCCCGAAAATCTGCGCAATATCGTTTCCGTGGTCATTCTAATTCAACGTTTCCTGGCACAACCCTAGCTTCGAGCTCCTGTCCAAGTAACCAGATGGGCATCACCATCTCGACAGTCGGGTCGCAAGAGCTGACGAAAGCTTATGATCGACAAGCAAACCTTGGCCCTGCACCACAGTTAGGACAGGTCGAGACTGCATGATTGGGAGCGGCTGGCGTCAAGTCGGTGCAGATAACTGGGGTACGGTGGAGCCCGGTGATCCAGATCATGCACAGCCTCCTCCTACTCCTAGTGCCCGCAGCGTGTCACACATACTTACCCCCTCCAAACACACCTTTGTAACATGCCGAGAGGGGCGCAGTCTTTTCACAGCGGCAACATTGATAAGTGAGCTGGATTCACAAAAAGGCGCGACAGCCACTGTTCGCCTTTGAACGCCCAACCTTCCCGTCACAAAAAACATTCGTTATCTCATTGTACACACTCACCGCCTTGGTCAAAGAGTAGCCCTAACAACAATCCACATCATTGAATATCCCTTTTGATAAATTTTCCGGCTCACTCCATGTCGCTGCTCATCATGTCGACCGATAACCCCTCCACCTTGAATAGATTATCGCCGGACTGGATCCGTCGCCCACTCTCGCGGCGTTCAACATCGCCACAAAAAAGCATGAGCCCAACCACAGCAAACGGATTTCTAGCGCCAGAGCCGACACGAAGTAACAGCGACGAATCCCGCTCGCCACGCTCAAGTACTTCCGGCCGCCGTGGTTCAGTACGCGAAATAGTCAACAGACTCCGCTCCTCATCAAGCACCAGCATGGCCAGCAACAAGTCACAAGACATTGACTTTAGCGAGGTAGAAAATTGGTTTCATGGCTTCCGAAAGTACAACCAGCTCGTTTGTAACACCATCTCGCCAAACCAGGCGTACCCATCGAAAGAATTCACAAAGGCATCCAAAGCCTTGACCAAAAACTGCGGTGGCCAGTTCATTCACGGCTTGCCCGAGGCTGTATTCGATTTCTCATTACTATGGTGCCCTGCAGGCTACTTGACTCGAAAAGATACGAATGAACCGAGCTGGAGTTGGTCTGCATTCAGTGGTCCAGTGAATTTCCCCTTTGACCCTACTACCTGTCCAGACGTCTACAAGACGCCGCGTGGTGAGGGCGAGTGGTTTCGCTCCGAGGTCTTGAACTACCACATTGGTCCCGAATCCGCACAATATACCGTACGACGGGAAAAGGGCAGTAGCTCACTCCGCATCAAATATCCACCTTATTTTCACGCTCCACGGGGCTCAGATCACAAGACGGATTCAAACACTTTGCGCTTTACCGCATCGACAATTTCCGCGGACGGCTTCAGCGCAGAGCAGCTCGACCACGAGGGCAAGCAAATTCCTTGTTCGCATCTCATCAATGAAGACGACCAGCACTGCGGTGTGATTATGGACTACGAATCTTCCATCTCCCAACCATCATCCACAGGGCCCTACGAGTTCGTCCTACTCTCACGCAATCTATGGCGCAAACCGTGTGCTGAGAACCGCAAACCTGCTGGTTTCAATACCATGCATCCGCCTGGCACGCCCATCTGGGCTGAAGACCACTTCCTGTGGGACAAGGAGGTTGATGATTTTGCGGCTGAGCAGTTTGAAGCTGGGCCTTGGAAAATGCTCAACGTCATGCTGATTAAGTGGGTGGGTGAGCATGCCGAGCGGGTGGCTGTGGCGAGGATACACGAGGACGCGTGGACTCGGCGGAGCCCAGTGAAGAAGGACATTGTGCTCCGGTAAAGATTTCTTTTTCGTGGTTCTTTTCTTAGACATGCTCTGTTTTGTAAATGGGGCCTTTGTATTTCTCTACTTAACTAAAACTTGATGATACCCCTCTCTATAAGCTTGAAAATTAATTATACCATACTATTACTAGGCAATGCATATAATTAAATTGAGTGTAGTGCTGCAAGAACCGAATACTTTTTACTGGATCATATCAAAACAGTAAACCAATACACGAAGTGACCAGAAACCCAACTACTATGTTCTAGTTCTTCCACTATGATTACACTCTCTTCTTGAACTGCCTTGCTACCGTGAGCCTTGCAAAAATGACACACAGTGCAGATACTGTCGCCGTACCGCCAGCGTAGAAGATAGCTGGGCGGTAAACATCGATACTCTGACCCGCAGCATTATCCTTCCCCCCGCCTGCAGCTTGTAAAAGATAACCAGCAATGGGTGCGCCCATGAGATAACCGCCCGTCCACCCTGTCACAGACATGCTCATGGCAACAGCCGCGCGGCCAGGACCAAAGATGCCAGCGACGACAGTGGGCTGAGTGGTAAAGTAAGCACCATTGGCGACTCCGTTTATAATGGCGAACAAGACGAGGGGACCCAAGGTACTCGAGACAGGCCAGATAGCCAGCATGCTCGCCGCATTGAGTGCCATAGTAATGACAAACATATTGAGCGGCCCCAACTTATCGCACAACGGCCCAGCAATAAAACGGCCAATAGCACTGCAAGCGTTAAAGGCAGACACCAAGCCCGCACCCGTCGTCGGACTCAGGCCAATCGACTGCGCAAACAGCGGTAAATAGTAATTGGGGACAAAGAGGGCAAAAACCCCAATCGCACTCGCAACAAACGTAGCAATAAACGTGCCGCTGCGAAACATGCTGACGTCCACAAACGGCACATTCCTCAGCGGCACCCGATCCTTGAGCATAGCCGCAGCCGGCAGCCCCAAAGCCAGCGTAAGCAAGCCCTGGATACGAAACGTCCACGCAATGCCCACTCGTCTGTACAGCGCCTCCAACGCAAGCGCCATGACGCACCCACCGATGCCACCGCCCAGCTTGATAAGCCCATTGGCGAGTCCCAGGCGCGCGCTAAAGTACTGGACAGGCAGCGTATTCGCAACCGCATACACCATGGCCATGCCGACGCCCCCAACGACCCCATACGTGCCGAACAGTCCCGCCAGATTCTTGGTGCAGAAGCTCGCGCCGATGAGACTCAACGACATGAGAGCTATCCCGAGTAGAATGGTGGTTTGGCACCCGACGTGCCGCATTAGGCGTATGGCGAGGAGGCCGTAGAGAGCGCCGCCCGCGAGACCGAGGGAGCCGACGTAGGCGAGTGTGGATGGAGGGACGGATTGAAGAGTTGAGTTTAGGAGTGCGGCTTGCAGGACGCCCCAGCAGTTTATGATGCCGTTGTGGCAGAAGGTTGTTATGGAGCAGCCGAGTACGATGATCCAGCCGTAGCCGCCGTCTGGGATGGCGGAGACGGAGTAGGCTGCATTTTCGGGGGCTTCATCGGGGGTTTGTGTCAAGGATTGGTGAGGGCGGAGCGAGGATTTGGTTGGAGGGGGTTTGAGAGTAGTTGTGTTTGGTGGTCGTATGGGCGTTAACTCGATGTGATCTTCGTAGATTGTCGTTGTAGTTGTAGTAGCCATTGCGCAGGTAGTAGTAACCTTATCTTTTTGCTTTTGTGTGATGAGGAGAGGAACTGTATTGACCCATATTCAGCTCTTATGAAGCGACACCTTTTCTTTTAAATGAACGCATTGTGGGAATCTCTTAGCATTGCTTGAACGGTAAACTGCTGTTTACCATCGGAAAGCGCTAGAGCACGCCCTTTGGCCCCTCTTTTGGATAGCCAGATGTCAGTATTACCTAAATGAGTCATGTTGGCCCAGTAAGCTAAGAAGCTCAACAGATTACTTATTCTATCGCGTGTCAGTACGTTGCATTCAAGATGATTTCGCGTCAAAGGCGTTAAGCAGGTGATGGAGTGCGGGGAAAAGGACTGTACGCATTGCAGCTGAAGCCTTGCTAGTCATTCAACTGTGCTGCAGGGTCCAGGCCCTAAATTTCATACATGAAATCCCCACTTTACACCTCATTGATCTTCACGCCAGCTTACAGTTGTTGGAAGCAACGTGGGAAAGCAGGTTTACGCAGCCAGACCCGAGTTTCAGGGTCGTTTTTGGCAATCTACGTAGACCCCCACCCCTCTTGTTATACATACTTGAACTAATGGTACCCCCCCCCCCCAAAAAAAACACGTTTGACAGCTGATCTTCCTCTTATCCATTCCCTCAAACAAATCATATTGAATCTTCCTCTTTGTCACCTTGAACCTAGTAGAAACGAAAGCAAACAATGGCAACAGAAGATACAGTCCACCTCTCCTCACCCCACGCCCCGCACCAAGCCTCCATCGACGCCTTCTCCTCCGTCCTCGAGGAAGTAAAAGCCGAACTCATCAAACTCCGTCATGACCATGATAGTAAAGAACCCCACTCCTTCCACCTCTCCATGCAATTATGCAAGAAAGAATAAGAAGAAGAAAAAAAAAACTCACACCCCTCCCCCCCTCGTACAACATCATCCCTAACAATCTCCCCCTCTTTCTCCCCCCCTTTAGAACACGAACCCGAATACTTCGCCCGCGTCACTCACCTCTCCTCCCCCCAACTCACTTCCTTCACGCCCTCGGACCTAGTCCTCGTTCGCGCCGCCACCTCGGCCTACGGCATCCATCTCTTCTGCAAAGTGCGGCTCCCGGCGCTCGACAACGGCTACATCCACGTGCGGATCTTTGGTGCTGCGAAAGAAGGAACAGACGGGAGTAGTCCAGATGAGCGCGTGTACAGTTTGCATAGTATACATACGGAGGAGGTGGTGAAGGAGGATGGTGATAGGTTGTATCGGGCGGTGTTTGGGGAGGAGGATGGGTTGGAGTGGTTTGATACGTAACTGCGAAAGGAGGAGGAGGAGGAGGGTGTTGGACTGGATTGGATAGGAAAAAGAAGAGGCAAAGGTGATCAGAAAGGGTTGGTTCATTTCATTCTACATAAAGATAATAATAATGATAATAATAAAAAACGCCAGAAAAGAAAAGAGGTTTTTTAGTATGAATCGCCGAAGAATTGACTGGCAAGGGTAATGTCTTTGTCGCCGTTGGCAAAGTCCCAGCCTACGATTGTGGGGTCTTGACTGCAGCAGATGATTCTGCGGGCGTCGAATTGGAGTTTGAATACGCGTGAGTTGGTGCCGTTTGTGTTGAGGGGCGCGGCTAGGGGGTGTGGAGCGTGGTGATGGTGATGATGGTGGTGGTGGTGATGATGCGGTTGTGCATTTGCTGGGCCTTGCTGTCCGACTGCTGCGTGACCGACTGGTTGGTTGGGCGCTATAGCAGATCCGGCTGTGATGTTACCCACGGCGGCGTTGTTGCCAACTGGGCCATGCATAGCTTGTGAGGCTGCATGAAGGGCATGCGCTTGTTGTGCCAGAGTCTGAGCTGCTTGGGCTTGTGCCTGAGCCTGCTGTGCCAGCGTCTGGAAGTTGTTTTGTTGGGCGGCATTGGTCTGTTGATCATGTTGTCCAGCAGCATTTGCGTTGGCTGCAGGTTGAACGACAGGCCTCCTAGGTCGGCCGCCAGCGGCTCGAACTGCATCGTTTTGAAGCAATGTCTGAGACTTTTCCCAAGCGCCATCAGGCCCTCTCTTCCATATAATCACAGTCTCATCGTAAGAACCAGATACTATGCGCGCCCATTTGCTGCCTCCACCGCCTGGGGGTAACTTGGCCCCGTAGGCAAAGACTTTGGTTGGGTCGCGTGACCCAGCGTTGCGAGCGCGTCGCTCTGCTCTGCTGAGGTTTTGTTCAGACAGCATGCCGCTGGCTTGCGCGGCAAAGTAGTTTCGATCCACACTACGAGCCTCAGCCTCCAGCTCCTCTTCGTTGCCGGGCAAGTCTCCGAACTGGGCTTGTACGGTGCGCACAAGATTGCTGTGACCATTCAAGCAGGCGACCTCAGCGCCGGTAGCACGATCAAATATACGGACACTTTCATCCGAGCTTCCACTGACGATGCGTCGTCCATCAAACTGGACGCAAGCAATGCCCTTTGTATGGCCAGAAAAGGTTCGTGTGCACGCACCAGTCCGGACATCCCAGCATTTGACGCTTCTATCGCCGGATGCAGAGACAATCTGTCCGTCAAGAATCTGAATGGCATTCACTGCTGCACCGTGACCTTCCAAGGTCATGATGAGGCTGTAAGGGGCAAGAGGCTTAAGGTGCAGATGCTGCTGAGCGACATAATCCTGCATGTTAATTATATATGATGGAAATTTGGCAGCGGACTTCATGGTTGACGAGGGATAGGTATCATCGGTGGGCATCATTTCCTTGCGATTCCATACTTTGATGGTCTTGTCTTTTGAGCAAGTAACCAAGTAGCGGTCATCGAATCTCAGATTCAGAACTGACTCGGAGTGAGCCTTTTCAATTTCCTTGATGATGCGTCCAGTCGAGAAGCGCCACAGGATGACTCTGCAATCACTGCCACCAGACACTATAATGTCTTGGTCGGGCCGCTCATCAAACTGTAAACAGAGAACTGAAGCTGAGTGGCCAGTGAGTGGTGCGTGCACTAGGCGCAGAGTATCCAGGTTCCAGACTCTGATGGTCTTGTCTCGACTTCCACTGACGAGATACTTGCCCGAATACTGGATGGTATACACGCATTCCGTATGGGCTTCTCCTGGGTGATTAGGGTGTGGAAGTTGAAAGTTTGTAAATCGGCCAGCGCTCCAGTTGTCTTCCAATCGCCTCTTTTGTTTGTATAGAAATTGCCAGTTGATCTTAGCTTCTGGGCCAGGAAGAAGAAGCGATGGATGTATTGGGGGGCTGTTGGAGATTGCTGAAGTTGTCGAGGATGTGGTGTCTTCGAATGGTAGGCCTTGGCGTCTTTCCCGGCGTAGTGCATTGGTAGGCGAGGCGAGAGGCGAGGTGCCGTGGAACGACAGGCCTTCCATTTTGTCTTCTGATTTGACAGGACTGTCGTCGGCCTCGACTGCACCGTGCTGCTCGCCCCATGCATTTCCGGTAGGGAGGGCAGCGGAGGAATCAAGTGCATTTTGTGGTCCGTTGTCTGGCAGAGTGCCGTCGCCGAAAAGCTGTTGATTGCGCACGCGCTTCTTATGGGACGGCTTTCCGTAATCGGTATCTTCGGCTGCTCTGTGTCGTGTCTTGCGCTCCTTTTCCTTGAAATCCGCGCGCTTCTGCCTTTGCGACTCTTCAAACGCACGCACCTGGGAGAAGTTTGAGTTCCAGCCCTCGAGCCTGAAGAGTAGTTTCCAGAGAGGACTGTCGAGCACGCGTTCCCTCCATGCGCGTGACAATGTGGATGCGCGCAGCAGGGTTTCTGGGCTGAGGTAGGAGAGTATCTGGAAGGTGATTTCGGGGGGTAGGTGTATGACGGGATCAAGATGGAGAAGGGGGTTCAGCTTCTCGACGATGCCGGCTATGGACGAGGTGCGTAGCGAGCGCAAGATGGCGTAGGCGAATTCTAGAATGCCATGTTAGCATTGGTTTGGGTCGGGTGCATAGTGACAGAGACGTACCACTACGCTCATTTTCGCTCAGAGCCAGGACCCAGTCGGGCAGGGTGAAGGGCAGATCGGGATTGCGATGGGAGTCACCGAGCCTCAGGTCGGTCTGCATAACCATGTCGCCCTCATTCTGGCTCCTGGTATCTTCCGAGTAACCCTCGTCGAAACGGTTGGCGCTCATGGAGGAGGCGGGACGGAAAGGATGCATGTAGGGTGGGCCGGAAAATTGGACGTTGGCGTTGGCCAGAGGGCCTGCCATTGTGGTGCGCGCGCGAGCGGCGGGTGACGTGTGGGTTGGGCGAGTGGAGACAGGTACGGGCTCGGGCTAGTGGGTAGGCGATGATGGCATGGGCGATGGACAAGAGGCTATGCACGAGTATGTAGGTGGGTAGGTATGGATGGATGGATAGATGTATACGGGGGGCAGGCAGGTGAGGTTCTGTTCAGGCATGCGGGTCGAGGGGGCTGCAGGTGGTGAGGCGCAGTGTTGCCTGGCGGGCCTTGTGATTGTAGCGAGATGGGGCAGGTGGCGAGATGACTAAAGGGAGGATGCGAGGGTGAATGGCAGAAAGCAAAGGCTACATGTCACGGATGGCAGATGGATGGCGGATGGCAGAGTTGAGTGTCGCGTTGAAGCGTCAACGGTACTCAGCCGCGCCTCGACAGGCACATGTCGTTTGTTGCGGCAACCATCTCGGCGGCCGTGCACAGAAGCGCATTCACTCTTGATCTGCGGCTAGCCTTGGGCCTAGGCGCATGCGGCATCCGGATGGTGCGGCGACATGGCTCGGCTGTGAGACATCAGATGCACGCCCACGCTAGAATCAGGCCCATGGAGCAGCACTAGAAGCTTGCGGCCAGCCTTATCTGCGCCTGGCGGCCATGGTGCGAAAGTGGGAGAGTGGGAGAGGGAGCGTGGGGCATTGGGGGAGGTGGTTAGTGGGGGGGAGGGCGACGGGGGAGAGGGAGAGGCATTGAGCAGTCTGACGCCGGGACAAGCACGGCAGAGGGATAAGAGTGTATTTTAGTAACGGGGGTAATAGGGTGTGTCCGAGGAAAACGGAAGAGGAGGGGGAGGAAGAGGAAGGGCAAGGAGAAGAAGAAGAGCACGCAATGGCATTCGGAGAAGATACGCCGGTGCCGAAATGGATTGCAAGGTACTGTTGGCGGCGATGGTGGTGAAGAAGAAGAGGAAGAAGAAGAAAGGGGTGCAAATGCTGTGGACTAGTGCTGGATGTAGTCTAGAGTAGAGTCGGCTATGGAAGGCGCTGCGCTGTGCATAGACGAGACGGCGGCGAGAAGGCATCGTCATGGTGGTCATGGTGGTCAGCGAGAGTGCGGCAGAGTGCATATAGTTAGATGGCCAGTAAGTATATAGTAAATGAATGGCATGTCATGGAATAAGGCGGTGGGTGGCGGCCCAAGGCATCCCCTTGTGCCCTTCTGCCGGCAGAACAGTGCGAGCAGACGGGGGCCTGTCGTCGCAAGGGAAGGGCGGCGCCTCGTCGATCCACTCATTTCCACGGCACACATGGTGATGAAGCAGCCTCTGCCACGCCCGCCCGCCTGACTCACGGCGCCTCGCCCTGTGGTGTGGGCAATAGGTGGGCAATGCCCAACCGACCACTCCTGTCATAACGTCCATCCCTCCGTGGCGCAAATCCCTGTGTGCCGCAATCGGCCAATCAGCTCCCAAGTTTTAGGAA